TCAATATGATTTATACATATTTCTTTTGCACAGCCCAAAGTTTACCCAAAAGCCTATTTTAAATTCAAAACATATAAAAAGTTATAGTGTATATAGTTCAAATTTGCCTTAAAGTACAATGAGGTACAGTACCAGTTAGCTTAGAAGTCGAAAGATAAATTTATGGTTTTGGCAAAAAATCTAATTCGTTAATTTTATTTTCTCTCACTAATTGTAAAAAAAGGTACGTGTGTTTACCTTTTGTCGACGTTTTTTCAAAATTGACTGCACTACTTTTAAAAATTATAATTCAAAACCTAATAATAAATGAAACTAATAATTCGCATTGATTAGCTTCATAGAAGGATCGGTCGAAAAAAATTTTAACTTATTTTAAAATTATGAAAAGTGATATTTGTTCGCGATTAATTGTATTTATTGAAATATCGTATGATAGTATAGTTGATGGTAGAAGATATTTCTCTAAAATATTACAGGCCCATGTGGTGGATTGGTTATATAACTTACTTAAATTTGATAGTTATTTGTTAATTCTTTTTAATTCTATATACACATATATTTATACCTTTCACATAAATATTGGAATATATGAAAATATTACTGCGGTAATAAGTATTAGTATCAATAGTAATAAAAATAATAATATATTATAATGATATAATATATTTATTATCATTTTCATTAACGTATACATTTTCAATCAATTTTAATTGTTAATTTTTAACGTATACATTTTTATAAATAAAAATTAAAAATTGTCAAAAATGTATATTTTATTTATTTATTTATTTATTCATAAGCAAGCCGTAATCAATAATAATAGATATTATTTCAGGCTCTTGTCAAGATATATACTATACGTTGATTAATTTCCAAAATTATATGTATCATATATAGATAGACAAAGTAAACATTTAAATAACTTACCTTTTTGTACTCGTATGTTGAGATGCTCATTACCTCGTTTGCATAAACTCAGGATTAGTAAATTTTGCTGCGAGGCTGCGATTATTACTATTTCAAAAAATAAAAATTAATCAAAAAGCAGTATAAATATAATAAATCTAAGTAAACTTACCTTAACGCAAATAGCCTTGTTCAAGAAGTTGAAATTATTTTTAATAGTTTTTGGTATTCAGGGACAAAACAACCCCCTTGTGTATGAAATACAATCTAATCCAGTTGTCATCATTAAAAGGATGCATTCTGAAACATGAAATGAAAATTAATAGTGCTCATTCTAAAACAGTGGAGAATGATAATTTAATAATAACATTGAAATGTGCTATTTATTAAAATACTTTTTTTTTAGAATGTAGATTACATAATTTGTATAATTTGTTCATCTGATCGAAATGTCTAATAAAATTTTATATTCTGTGAAATCTCCTAAAATGATGATTTACTTTAAAAAGTATATCACCATAGTGAATACGAGTTATAAAAAAAGTTTAACTTGGTCTTGATTCAATTTTATACTGGTTTGTCTAATATTATCTTTATCAGCAGGTAGTCCGTAAAAGAATAGTTGTACACTGAATCCTATTTTTTGAATTTAAAATTCAACAAGATTCGAAGAAGTTATTAAATCGTTATAAATAAACTTTAATTATTATTGACAATTTATAGTTTACTAATTCAAGTCTATGATCAAAAGCAAAAAAAAAACAAATGTAAACAATTATGCTAAAAGGAATATTTTCATATTGAACATATTTTAACCAACCAATACATGTACGAAATTTTTCATGATTTCAAGTATTTTATATTATTTGTCATTTAGTCATGGAGGGAGATCTACGTATCAGTTTTGTATAATGATATAAATTACTTGCTAACTATTCGAGTACATCATAATTGCCTGTGAATATTTAGCAAAGCATTTACAAAGTGACCATGCTCAAGGTGGGTGAATAGTGAAATAAACGAACATTTGAATTCGCGTTATTATCAACATCAAATATTGTGTGTGACTATTAATTTAACTAACATCAGAATGAATAAAGGCAGAAAAGCATTGAAATTAACCTAAGTTATATTTTAAATTGTATTAAATGAACCTTATTTTTGCCAACTTTATTAACTTCCTGTTATAGTAATCGCAAAAAAATCGAAAACAAAAATTTTTATATATCTTTACGTTTCAAAACCTTCTGAACATTTTGGCATACCTTAAAAAATAGATGTATGTGTTGTATGTGTGTGTGTACGGATACAAATTTTAGTCGACGATTTCAACAAAAAAGTGCCAAAAACGATAACTTTAAGGTAACCAGATTTCAATAATGTGATCTATTTTGTTTACGGCGACGCGGCGCTTACGCGCTTCGATATTTCGTCTTTATGCAGCTAAAGCAGTGCGATTGCTTTGAAAAAAAGTTAAAAATTTCCAAAATATTTCAAAATAAAAAAAACATTTTTTTAAAAAAAGTCAATTCAACAATTTAAAATCAATTTTTTTCATAGATTGAAGAAAAATTTAATGTTTTAAAAAAGAATACTTTTGGTACGGGAAGTTCCAGCAATTTGCCTTAAGATGCCATACACCACTAGTTTATTTTTATATTAAAGTTACCATCTTGGCTACGAAAATTTTTAAATACCTGTTTTACCAAAACTGTAATCAATAAAAAAACAGTAATCAATAAAAATTGATATTTGTATATTTTTGAAAATTTTAAAATTATTGTTTTCGGAAAATTTTGAAATTTGCTTGAACCGTATAAGTAAACTTTAAAAACTAAAAATCTTGGTACAGCAAAATTATAAAAAAAATTAACACTTATTTTTAAACACTTCATCAAATATCTGATATTTTGATGTGCATGCGTCTAATGTTCATTTTTGAACACCAAATATCTTTTTTTTACTTTTTCCTTTGTATCTCAGAAACCGCTAGACCTGCCTTATCAAAAATTTCATCAATTATTCATTTCGTCATTAAAAGTAAAATGTTTTTCGAATCATTCAAATCGAGTACTCCGTTCTCTCAAAAACTGAATTACGGTTTTTGGCACTTTTTGCCCCATATCTCCGAAACGAATTAGCACGTCTTCATATCAATAGGGATCCAATGTTTTTTGAAGCATTCATATCGGTTGATTTGTGTCCAAACATACATACATACTACACACACACACGTACATTCATTTTTTCTGGGGTATGCCAAAATGTTCAGAAACCGTTGAAACGTAAAGATATGCAAAAATTTTCATTTTCGATTTTTCGCAATTACTATAACTTACCTACGGGAAGTCCTATTTTCATGTGAGGTCTTTCGACACTTGCCTTGCCGTGCAGCATGCATTCTTAGTTAAAATACTTCCCAAGTACCATATTCCGCTTGTTTCACCTCCTAGATTTCACTTATATAATAATAAAAATTATTATAATAATAAAAGAAAAAAATATATAATAATAAAATTGCACTTACCTTTGAATATTTTTTAAGTTCAATTTTAGCTGTTGAAATACAAATTTTAACTCACAGAAAATATTTTTCAGTTTCTAGCTTTTATCGTACTCATTGCTGTAGCAGTTGATACATTTCCATCAGAGATATCAAAACCGATAGAAGCAGATGCGCTACAAATATCCGAAAATAATAAGAATATAGCAATCATTCAAAACCGCAATGATTTAGAAACAGCGGAATCGGCTCGCAGGTTTTTTGGATATCGTCCATATCATAGGGGATATCACTTTTATCATGGATATCCCTCATACCACGGGTATCACGGTTTTTATGGATATCCATACCATGGATACCATTACTACCACGGGTACCCTGGATGCTTTCACTGTTTTCATGGCTAAGAGTAAACTATTTATTAATCTATTTTGATAAGCTTTAATTAAACTAACAAAACTAACAAAATAAAAGGCACACAAATATATTTCAATCATTGCTAATTTGCTAATATGCAATAATTATTATTGCATATTAGCAATTAAATCCTGCAGATTTTCATTTTATGCTAAAATTTTGCATTACTAGTCACTCAATTTTATTCACGTATTATTAAATGAAAAACTCGCTCAACACTTCTTTGGTTTCAAATAGTTTAGTACTATATACTTTCTCCAATCTTTTTAAAAAATCAGTTATTTTAATCAAAAAAGTAAATACTCTTAGCTACATGTGTCTCCCAAGATAGAACACAAAAATATGGACAATTCATTTTTTAACACTTGTTTTGGCACTATATAAAAACAAGTATGAAACAAAATTGTGTCACAAATGAATTGTTAATAAAGTTGTTTATGAAAGTATATAGAAAACATGCTTTGTAAATAGAAGATTTACAAAAGTTGATATTGTAATTATAGTTCAGAAATAATCAGTATGTAGTTTTTGACATAATTAGTAAATTATACAAAAAGGATTTAACATCTGAAATTAGAATAAAAAACCATATTTATTTAAATCAATTTTTATTTTAATTTTTTCAGATTCAAAAAAATATGAAATAAGTTTCTTGTTTTTAAATAAATTAGGATAACCATCTATAGATAACTATTTCAATCAATCACAGCTTAAAACCTTAGGTAATGTAAAAAATAATATCCTAAAAAAACATTCCTCAAAAAGAGACCAGGGAATGCATTTTTGTTCACTTAGAATTAATTTCCGCATTTTTTAATGCCAGAGTCATATTCTAAGTCAAATTATTTCCTAATGCAAATATCATTGCACTCGAAGCTGATTTGAGAAAATGAATACTTATAAAAATTTAATGTAAATTTAATTTATCTAAAGATCAGCATCGTCAATATGATGATTCAAATCTTTTGTGGTTTCCACCTCCATTTCTATCAGCATTACGTTTGAATCCACCATAGTTGTTTCCACCACCATAACGACCTCTGCCTCCATAACCTCCATATCCACCATTACCACCTCCTCTAGAAGCCATTTCATTCAATTTTGGATGCACAACCTGAAATTTTGTATTCATAAGATCCACTCAAAAAGAAATATATAACTAATGTAATATTAACAATGTGGGAGACATTGAGGATGGGATTCAGACAAAAATCGTGTGAACACCGAAGGCATAGCCTCCCCTTTTATTCTACCCCCTCACAGCATTCATGTTCTACTAATTTATGAAGTAGCCAACATGCCAAAATAAGGGGGCTTTATTTGAAATATTGAATTAATTACCTGATTGGCTTCTTTTAAAACAGACACTAAATCTTTTGCTTGTCTGCTATTTTGAGGTGTGAAGAATGCATAAGATGTTCCAGTGGTATCGGAACGACCAGTTCTTCCAATTCGATGAATATAGTCTTCAGAGGAGTTTGGGTAATCAAAGTTGATAACATATTTGATTCCATCAACATCTGTATAAATTATATAGTTAGTGTGATAACTAACAAGTTGAGCATTGTTAATTAAGTTCTTGGAATAATTAAGTTACAAATTGACTTGTAACAAAAATAATTATACAAACCATAGCCAGCAGTTCAAAGTCCACGTTTGGTGAGAATATCAATGATAAAAATCAAAAGATACAGCTCGACACTTCAAAATAAATTTGTACGAAATTTGTTTTCACAAATTCTGCACACAGCTCGAATAATCAGGCCGAAAAGCAGAAGTCCAATATGTAAAAAAGATACATATATGCACACACATTGTGTGCCGAATCTTCCATTTTTCGTCCCAACAACGGGCCAGAGGCACCGCAAGAATTCAGTATGTGCGTGAGATTTTATATATCCATTCCAATCACGGAATATCACATGTATTACACACATTTATCTCGCATGTGCCTCTGAAAAAATTAATAGCAAAACAAGACTTTAGTATGTGAACTGTTGGATTATGTATTAGCAATTATTCCTAAGAACTATTGAAATGATCTCTCTTGAAATCAAATTATGCAAAAGGTAATTTAATTTTTACTATACTTACCAAGTCCACGAGCAGCTACATCAGTTGCAACTAAAATCGAACTTTTTCCACTTCTAAATTCTCTTAATACATAATCTCTCTCTTGCTGTGACTTGTCACCATGCATACAGACTGCAGGCCATCCATATCTACGAATATTGCGTGTAATATTTTCAACTTTCTTTTTGGTTTCTACAAAAATTATAGTTTTTGCTCCCTCTTCTTGCGTGTTACCAATTTCTTGTAATAAGTTGCTCAATCTAAAAGTAAGTTTCATTAGTTCACTAATAATGAATAATTACATAAAAATAATACAAAACTCATCAGTTCTTCTTAGAGGACAATTATTCATCAAGACATTATGTTTAAGAAATAGTATGCATCATTTGTTAAAGAGTACTGTTACTGAGTACATAATATTACATTACTTACTTTGTTTCCTTTTCATGTTCTTGACAAACATCTACAATTTGTAGAATATTGTGATTGGCCGACAGTTGTAAAGATCCTATATTAATTTGTACATAATCACCAAGATAATCTTCCGCTAGTTTTCTCACTTCTTTTGGCCAAGTAGCTGACCACATGCAAGTCTGTCTGTCAGGACGGATTTGTTCAATGATTTTGCGAATTTGAGGTTCAAAACCCATATCAAGCATACGATCAGCTTCATCAAGAACGAGATAAGTGCAGCGTTTAAGATTGGTACGCCCACTTTCAAGAAAATCAATAAGTCTTCCTGGAGTAGCAATAACAATTTCAACACCTCGTTCCAAATCTCTTGCTTGACTGCCTTTAGGTGCACCTCCAAAGACACAGGTGTTACGCACATAGGAAAGACTTCCAAATTCTGTGGCTACTTGTTGAATTTGTTGTGCTAGTTCTCTGGTAGGAGCTAAGACTAAAGCAATAGGTCCATCTCCTCTGGATATGGAAGGTTGATTGTTTATGTGTACTATAGCAGGTAGTATGTAACCTAAGGTTTTGCCAGAACCTGTAAACGTTAAAGTAAAATTTAAACTAAGAATCGAACACACATACGGAAAGTTAATAAAAAATTAATTATTACCTGTTTGAGCAATGCCAACCATATTTTTTCCACTCATTGCAATAGGCCATCCTTGTGCTTGAATAGCCGTGGGTTCTGTGTATCCTTGTTTTTTTATTCCTTGCATCACATAATCAGGAAAGTTGGCTTCTTCAAAGTACTGGATTGGATTAGGAGCATCTCCATGAACTGTGATTTCTTTAGCATTGCGGTACTCTTCAACTTCGCGATAAGAGCGGTTGGCGACATTCGGATGAGGGCAATAGAAGTCCTTCTTGAAAGGTTTCAAAAATTCGGAACTCCAATTAGGTTTAGTCATTTTTGAGCCACCGAAACTATCTTTCGAACCGCGGCTAAAGCCTCCATTCCGATTTCCGTAACCATTACTGGAGCTATTGCCGTATCCACCACTACGATTGCCTCGACTCGAGTTAAATCCATTAGAGCGATTGCCGTAGCTGCTGCTTTTTCCACCATAACCGTTCTCGTTTCCGTAAGTCCTAACACAATTAATCAATAAATGATTAAACGTAATGGCGGATCCATGCAATGCATGGATGTCAGAGTTTCGCCATTAATACATATATTATATAAAACGGTATAATCTATATTTACACATTTAAAAGAATTCGAAAATTAATAATGAATCTGATTAACAAAACAACAAATGAAAGAAAACTAAAAGAAATTAATGACACACGTGCCACTTATTTCAACGCTGTTAAAAATGGCGGACAGACGCCATGATAAAAATGTACATTTGAGATATAATTTTTTTTCACATAAAATGATTTTGGAAAAAAATAAGTACACGAATTAACTAAAACAGTGATTTCATTCCACTTACATGTCAAATTGTTGAAGATGCCTGATCGATGTAGAAATAAAAGTAGATGGTTGAGTTATTGATTTTCCAATTAGCCGCACTTGTCTGAAATCAAGCCGAAGTTTTGTTAAACTTTTGATTACCGCAAACATTTTCACTAATTTGATAACATTAAAAGTAATTACACGATAAAACAAAACTTCCTATATAAAATATGTTACAATATAAAGCACAACGTGCAACGTCGGCATATTACACAAGAAAGAACTTGAACTTACCAAAGCCACGGCTTGAATTAAAAGAAAGAACTTCTCAAACATCCGACTCGATATTTATATAAGTGTTATCCGATAGGACTTCTAGTTCTGTTACAAACTTCACTTGTATCTGTAGCTTCTCAAAATTTATATATTTTTTATTTTATTTTACTTTAGTTATTTGAGAATCATTAATGTCCTGAATAACTAATTAATAATGATAATTAATAATATGTGATATTCACACATATTCTCAAAACCGTATTATCAAATCTGTTACAACAATCATAATTATCATTATCTATAATCATAATTATCAGAAACAAAGATTATTTTATATATTATCTATTTAATATTCATGTATTTATAATTTAAAGCTATGAATTAATTATTAAAATACTGCTAAAGAACATTGAATATCAGGAGTGAGATTTTTGCTACGATATGGCAATACCAATAGACACCGCCTGAAAACGTCAGTTGACGTCATCATATATCATTAATAACATTATTTATTTAGCCGCTTAATATTGTTTTTTTTATTGATTATTTTTTTTATAATTATTATGTTATTACAAATGGAATTTTGAAATAAAACCACATAAAAAACTTGTCCATCAAGTTACTCAAATAATGCTTTTGATGCAAAATTTTATCTATTATCTCTAAATGATATCAGTAATCATTATTTTGCAATGAACTACGTCGATATTTTTATTGCTTACGCATAGTATTATATGCCATATGCTTTTAATACATAAACGTTGCGATTGTTTCGTTTAATTATTAATTAGAAAACACAATGAGGGCTCTTATATTAGTTGGGGGCTACGGTACTAGACTGCGACCGTTAACATTAAGCCGTCCGAAGCCTTTAGTGGAGTTTGCAAATAAGCCTATATTATTACATCAAATTGAAGCCTTAGTTGGTGCTGGTGTTACTCAAGTAAATAAAACCTTACAAAAAGTATCTATTATTTTATATTTATTGATGTTATTTTTTCGTGTACCAGGTAATATTAGCTGTTTCATATCGCGCTGAGCAAATGGAAAAGGAGTTAAAAGAAGAAGTAGATAAGTTAGGTGTATCATTAGTGTTTTCACATGAGTCTGAACCATTAGGTACAGCTGGCCCCCTTGCTTTAGCAAAGTCAATTTTGGAATCTAGTTCTGAACCTTTCTTTGTTTTAAATTCTGATATTATATGCGACTTTCCATTTAGAGAATTAGCATCATTTCACAAAAGTCATGGTAAGGTAAGAGAATACATTTAAGAATATTTTCTATATCAATATTGTATCAAATTGTCAAAAATATATTTTTTATAGGAAGGTACAATTGTAGTAACAAAAGTAAGTGAACCTTCGAAGTATGGCGTTGTTGTTTATAATGAGGGAGGCTGCATTCAAAGTTTTATAGAAAAACCTCAAGAATTTGTTTCAAATAAAATCAATGCTGGTAATTATTAATATACCAAATCTTCAAATAGTTTCTACATAAGTACATAAATTTTTACATTTTATAAATGAATGAAAGCAGTTTATTATGATTTTTTTAGGTATGTATATTTTAAATCCAAGTGTTTTAAAAAGAATAGAGTTAAAACCAACTTCAATTGAAAAAGAAGTTTTTCCTAAAATGTGTTCAGATAAAGAACTTTATGCTTTCGAATTGCAAGGGTTTTGGATGGATATTGGACAACCTAAAGATTTTTTAACAGGTTAGAGATGACTTATTATTTGTTTTCAAATAATGTTTGTATGAAGCAGATGTTTTGGTTAGTTGCGTAGTAGTGTAATATCAACACTCATGTCCTATTTCAATTGTTAATGTCAATTTCTTTACAAATCGTGAGAAATTATGTAATTAAAAATATAAAATTAGTATTTATATAATTTTGATTAGGTATGGCTTTATACCTGGGTAGTCTCCGAAAGAAAAGTCCAGAGTTACTATATGCAGGTCCTGGAGTGGTGGGAAATGCACTGGTAGACCCTACTGCACAAATTGGCATTGGCTGCCAAATTGGTCCAAATGTTACAATAGGACCTGGTGTTGTTATTGAAGATGGTAGGTGTAACACATTTGATTAATTTTCATATTTAAGATTGTTTATCCTTATAAAGTCTCAAAACAAAGGCATTATTACACTAACTATTTAGGTTTTCCTCATTGCTCAAATAATTCATACTTCAAAGCTAAAAGTATAAGTCCTAATTTGTACCAAAAGGATTTTGATTTTGAAACTTGTTCCCAGTTTGCATGCAAAACATAGTGAATAAAAAATGCACATTTTACATGAATAAAAAAAGTGTCAAGATGAAAATTAAAATAATTTTAGGCGCTTGTATTAAGAGGAGCACAATACTGAGAGAGGCAAAAGTTAGATCACATTCCTGGCTGGATGGTTGTATTATTGGATGGAGATCTGATGTGGGAAAGTGGGTTCGAATGGAAGGTACAACTGTACTAGGAGAGGATGTAATTGTTAAAGATGAACTATACATCAATGGTGGCCAAGTTTTACCTCATAAATCTATTGCAAATTCAGTCCCTGATCCACAAATTATTATGTGACTGACTACTTTTAATATATTTTAATATATTTATACTATGACTAAATTTTAAACTTTATATTAAAAAATATAATATATTTAAAAATAACAATCAAATTTAAAATAAAGATATATGATTTATTTATTTTTCATATATTTTACAGTCATGAGAATTTAATATGCGTCATATCTGTCTTATATTACTTCTAAAAACTATTTTTGCATCATAATTATCAAGCTAAATGCAGCCACATCATGTTTATTTTACTTCGAATATGCTTTCTTAGCAATATTTAAAATTAGAAGCAAAAGTACATATACTGAAAGGTAATTCAGTTGTGGGGTCGACTATTGCCTAAAATACCGTCAGTAGTTTAAGGTATTGACACTGCAGGTAACAGTAGAATCAATTAGCTCGAGCGTTTACCAGAACCAAATGAACAATGAGGTGTAGTGTTGTGGATAAAAACAGCATTATTAACTCACGTATCCCATGTTTTTCATTTTTTCCTACATACGACCTAATGAAATTTAAAAACATATGACATTTTTCTAAGGACACATTTGACTCTGGATGATAAATTGATATTTCCTATTTTCAAGAGCTTACACGTCTCTTTAAATATTGTACTCATAAATCTTGTTCCTTGATCTGTTAAAACTGCTTTTGGTATACCAAATCTAAGAGTTATTTCATTTACGAATGCTTTGGCTATGATTTAGTTTGGTGTCATTATTCGGTATAGGTACAGCGCCTGCAAATTTAGTTAAATCATCAATAAATGAGAACTTATTTGCATATTGCATTTTGCAAATAAGCTTCCATCTTAGTTAGAGCAAGACTCCAAATTTCTTGTAACAAATTTTTTAAACGCTCATTTTCTGCAAGTTATATCTTTTCTGTTGTCAATATCAGGATTACACCCTAACTAAATTTTTGTGCTTATTTTTATTTATTTGTGTATAAAAACGAAACTTTGAAAAAGGTTATTATTAAACATTTGTTTTCCAAATTATATGCCATTTAATATAGATCTTCGAAATATGTATATAAGTTACAAATCATCTATAATATCTACAATTGTATAATTGTATAATCAAATCTTTCCTAACTACTGCTAAAACTATTAAGAAACATAGTGAAAATTTTGATTACAAATAGCAAAGCCTTGTGGCTAGTCAATATGTTAAGACTTATGCACAACTTTAAACAGTATAGCGGCATTGCGGATTTCCAAATAAATAACACGCCAAAACAAAATGATCACTCTTGTAAATTCATTCAGACTTTATGGAGATGATATTTGATTACTATCTTTATCACTTTACTACTATTTATCAAGATGCAATTCGACATCTTCAAGGTAAGCTTCAACCTCTGATAATCCATAATAAAATAATAAACAAAAAAAAGCATTCAAAGTTTCTAAGCAACTGTTTTCAGAGCAGAGCAATATGTATTTTAAAAACACTTAAATATTATGAAGTTGATCCTGAAATTATTGTACAGACATTTAAACAATTGTTCTACTTCATATGTGGTACATCACTCAATAATCTATTGCTGAGAAAAAACTTGTGCCACTGGTCAAAAGGAACGCAATTATGATACAATTTAATACATTTAGAAATGTGGACTTGCGATTACAAGTTCATTACTTAATAATACTTTATATAAAAATTAATGCTAAATTAAAATTTATTAATAATATTTGGTTAATTTGTCATAATTATTAAAAATAAAGCCTTTATCAAAAGAGAATATATATCCCCATAGCTCTAAGGCTTAAATACTTGAACTTTTTAAATGGAATATAAATTCATATATTCTGAATGGAATATAGATTCATATTTATAAACATTACGTTTATAAATATTTTCTGAAATAAATAAATTTATTATGAATTATAGAAAAATTCTAAATTATTTTTTCTTATTTTTTCCAAGTGTTAACGTATTGTGGGACATTGCCATTTGATGTTTTCTTCGATTAAATTCTATTATTTCATCTTCAAGATTTTTACGATTTTCTTCAAGTTTTCGTTTTTCTTCAGCATGATCCTTCTTTAATTTGTCAAATTTGGAATGTAACTATAATTATTCAATTAAATTTTAGTTTTAAATCCTTAAAATCATAATAAATATTGTTGCTGTACCTCTTTTTCTGCTTCTTTTAACTCTGCTTCCTTCTCTTTAACTCGAACTACAAACATCTGTCTCATTTCATCCTCTTTATGTTGAAGTTCTTGCAAATGATGGGTGCGTTTAGCTTCAAAAGTTTGTTGAAAACTCACCTATCATTTAAAAAATGCTATGATTTATACTTATATTAGCAAATAATTACTAAGCCTTTTTATTATATTACTCACAGGCTTATTTTCATTGTCCACATCTGTAAAACCCATTTGTTCAAGACGTTTTTTACGATAAAGTTCATAATGTTTGCCATGTGTCTTTTCCCTCATATCTTCCATATTGGTACGAATTAACATTTCACGTAGCTTGACAAAGTCGCAATGAGCTTCATTCTCCACTATAAAATAATTTAATAATGAAAATTTAATATATTTTATGGCATGCTAATTTAAGGCTTACAGTGAAAATATAAACACATTTATTTACACAATAAAAAAATGAATAACTTTAGGTTAAATTGGGCTGTTTTTAAAGAAAAAGCTGAGTCTTTAAGAATGCAATATATATATATATATATATATATATATATATATATATAAGTTTGATACAATATCAGAATTTTCTAGTCATAAACTGATTTGGATTATTCATAAACATTGATCAGTATCAGCATTGCAAGGAGACTATAACATAACTTAAGAGATACAGACATGTAAAACAATTACTTTACAATTATTTTTACAATATTTGTTCAGTATCAATATCAAGCACGTTAATAATGTATCATTCAGTTTTCATTAAAACCTTCATAATAATTTAGTCTTTCAAAAAACCAGTTTAATCTAAGTATTCATTAATTTTAAATATACTATTCAATATACGAGGTCTGTTCAAAAGTTTCGTAATTTCGTTTTTTCAAAAAAATATTTATTTATTCGTCTACATTAATGTGGTCCCCTTCAAAGTAGTCCCCCCAGATATAATACACTTATGCCAGCGTTTTTTCCAATTTTCGAAGCACCCTTGATATTCACTTTTTGATATGTCCTTGAGCACTCTCAGCGATTTTCTTCAATCGAGGAAAACCGCCGTCCTTTCATGGGTCTCTTCAACTTTGGGAATAGGAAAAAGTCACACGGAGCCATATCTGGTGAATTTTCGCACTTTGCAACACTTTATTTCATTTTTTACGCAAAATTTAATACAAATTCTTTGACTTTTTCAATTCTTCCATTGTAAAAATCGCCGAGCTCAGAAAAACACGTCGAACCTTAGCGACTACCACAGACAAAGTAAACAGTGAATATAGCTGAAAATTTCATCATACTTTAGGGGCATGTATACCAACACAATAAAAAAAAAATTTTGACAATCAGACACTCCAGACCCGCGAAATTTAATTATTAGTAATTCCGGGTACTTTTTGAACAGACCATGTATTTCAAAACTGAATAATAGTTGAATAAGCAATTTATGATTGTATATCTATACAAATTATTATTTGTATTAACTTTTGATGTGCATATAATTATTTCCTAGTACATTTTTAAATTTTAGATTTACTTATTATTTCTCTGTAATTTGTTTAAGATGATTATGTGTATACCACAAGTTTTGTTTATGCTACAATATATTTATAAAGATGTAAGGTAAATCCAGAATTTGAATGAATTATCATATTTTGTATTGATTACTTATTTACAAAATATCTGTTAATATTCAATAACAATGAATACAAAGAAGAGTCAAATTTTATTACTCTGTAGTTTTATTTACCTTGAACAGTTCCCCATGGATATTGACGAGAGCGCACCATTTTATTTCCAACTCGAACAAATTCAGTTGAACCAACAACAGCAAAAGGTAAGTGAGAATTCATAGATGAATTGACTTCTGACACTGATTCATCATCTGTTGGAAATTGATAAATACGCACATCATTTGCTTCCAACTCTTGACAAATCTTAGCCTGGAAGGAAAGCAAACGTTTAACACAATAATCACAAAATTAATTAGATCCTATTATAAACATTTACCTTAAATTTTTGAAGTTCTGTTTTACTAATAGTATCAGCTTTTGCTATGATTGGAATGATATTGACTTTGGTATCAAGTTTTTTCATGCAAACAAGATCAATGGATTTCAAACCATGTCCCAGTCGGGCAAATAAAGTATAAGCAAACATGAATTCTTCCATCTGGGCAATTTGCAAGAGATCTTTTAATTTTCAATTCCTCTTGAAGAAATGCCTCAAATTGGGCATCAATATAATCAACAACTGCTTTAAAACTATCCTCTTTATTAATTTGGTCACCATAACCAATAGTGTCACAATTGTCAACTATAAAGATCATTATTATATCACTTTGTTATACAAGCACATATTGTATGTTTGGTCTATCTTTATTAATTAAGATAGCTAACTAAACTACAAACTTATTTACTGCCATTGACATTTTCTTTAAAAATATTTTAAATATTGAAATATTACTTTCTAAATGATCTTATTATATTAATCTATTCACTACATCTTTTTTATTATTAGCACAAATTGTAATTATTTATCAATAATTTTACAATGATTAATAATTATTAAGATAATATAAAATATATGATCAAACCTTTAGTTTAACATTGCTTTCTTGCAACTCATATGTATGAGCCTTTAGTCTCACATTTGGTAAAGAATGGGGACTCGGTTGAGATTCAAAGTTTGTATTAAACAAAGTATCCATCAATGTTGATTTGCCAAGACCTGTTTCGCCAATGCACATAATATTGAAGACAAATCCAGTTTGAACACTTTTGTTCACTAGCTGATCGGGTAGACTATCAAAACCAACATGCCCACTCAACTTTAAAATTCGAGGCGATTCCTTTTAAAATAAGATAAAGTCATTTAATGATAACCTTTTTGGTATATACATATATAATATAAATATCATTCAAAATATCTATCTCAAACTTATTTGAAAATAATTACTATTCAATATAAGACTGTCAAAATAGAAATAATGTGAATTAACATTATAGTTGAAGTTTCATTTCATTGGTTGATAAACATAACAAAACATATAAATATATTTTTTAATATTGTTTTTTTTTACCATATATGTAGAGAAAAATACTTTAATTATAACTTAAACTCAAATTTGATATCCGGGAAATTTTAATTTATTTTTAATTATTTCACTAAATGATAAATTTTTCTAATCATTCAAGATTAACATTGTACAAATTCTGAGCAAGAAAATTTGAATACATGTTACATATTAGAGGTTTTGTTTATTATTATTTTACATATTAGTATTCATTATTTATTTGACTTCATACTATGATCACCGTTAGAAGCGCCTTAATATAAAAATTTAAATTGTATAATCTAATAAAGGATTGTGCTAGTTACTCATTGCCTAATTCAGAACTAATACACATTCCATTCCAATTATTGTTCACAAATATATTTTATTTCTTTAAACACTTTCACAAGATGCTTAAATTAACATAAAAGAGAAAAATTTACATTTTAATTATCAAGAGAAAGCATAAATTGATCTCACCTTCGTAGGTTCGGCATCTCCCGAAGATACAGTATTTTCGTTTGATAATGTCATTTTGAGTTTGAAATTCTGTTCAAAACACCAATGTTGTTTATGAAATATAAACTTAAACAATATATAAACCTATATAGCTTTTCTATAAAATAAATAAACAAATTAATATTTCACAATATTTGTCACAAAACTTGACAAGCACAATCAAGACAAAGACCACAAAGTATAAACATAAACGAACTATGTCTCGAACACTCCACACCCTCACCAAACGCTTTTGTGACAGGCTTGCGCCTTTCGGCACTTTCGGCACATGTTCGGCACACCTCGCAAAAAAAATTATCGATAATGTTTGAGCTTTGTATGCACCGATAATTGACGTCTTCAAATATTTGCGCTAAACGTAAATAAGTGCAAGATTAATAATTAAAATTTAATAAAAGTCTTTGTTAAAAACAATATTGACATAAATATTAAAGATTTTTTGCTATTACTATTACTTACCTTATGGGAAGTTAATATCATTAATTTAATTATCCAAGTTTTAATTTTAAGAATTTCTAATTAATATTCTTAAATTAAAAAAAATCTAAATGCTGAGAGTTAATGAATTTTCTTTACCCTGTTCTCTTCTTTTATCTGTGTTATTCACTCTGTGTACAATTTAATAAAATCCATGATAAAGAAATATTTTCTGAGTATAAAAACAATTAAGTACAGAAATCAGTGATGTGCTACTATTTTTTTAAATCATTATATGAAATAATGTATATTGTAAATAAATAAATAAATATGATTTTAAATTATATGATTTACCCTTGCGGTAAAACTTTAATCCCAATCTCAAAAAAATTAAATTGTGTTTGCCAAACCTTTATTAAAATAAGTTATGAGTTATAACTTCAAATTTTCGATTTGTATATTAATATATTAATATACAAATCGATAAATATCCTATATTTGATAGAAATTTCGTAAATATACCAAATAAGCCATTGTCATTAAAATTTGTTTTTTTAGGCAATATTTTAAATCAAAACATTTGCTTTATTTATAATGTCTATTATAAAAAATAAGAGTTTTTCAGCTATCGATAAAATATTGTCGTAAATCTTTACAATCGATATGGTTTCTTGTCAGCGGTCATTACTGTCATAAAATGTATCCAAAGAAAAAAGTGTTTTGAAAACAATAACATAATATAATTGTGTTATTTAATGATTAAAGGAAAATTTATATGGAATCATGTTATAGCAATGATGTTATATGTATTGGAAACGTTATCATATGTCGCTAGTCGACAAAATAAATATACATCATTTATAAACAACGTTATCAATTTTGCTATATTAATCATTTTATTTAGCTACTTTAGTCATGTTCTATTCGTAGCCTGTTTATAAAGTTAGCACATAAATTGACATAAACAAACATAAAATATGCAATTTATAGACACATGAAATTAGTTGTTTTAGACTATTTTTCAATTTGGATAATTTATAAAAATGGCTAAAATCAAAGTATATTTAATGACTGGATCAGAAATTGATCTATCTTATAATAATGCAGAAACTGCTGAAGATGTTTGTTGAATTTATGTAAAAGGCTCAATTTTCCACCATCATCAAATGCATATTTGGTCTACGCTTATTTGACAATGTGGGAAAACGAAAAGTTTGGCTAGCCCCAAGTTCCAAGATAGACAAAAATGAAAAATATGAGCTTCGAATTAGATTTAAGGTAAGCACTTTAGAAACAATTCTCTTATTTTTCTAAGAAACAGTTATTAATATATCATTTCTTTAAGGTTTCCAGTTTATCTCGCCTATTCAATATTGATCAAAACGTTTATGATTATTTCTTTCATCAAGCTCGAAGAGATATATTGAGTAATGATGTTGCTGAAATTAATTACACAGAACAAAAAGGCGAATTACTTGGCCTTAGTGTAACTGATATGTGTCGAGAAATGATTGAACATAATTTGTCAGCAGAAGAAATAAAAAGAAATTTTAAAAAATACATCCCACGTGAAATAGTTAAAAAGTTTGTCATCTTATTATATTAAAAAAACTATTCAAGAATCTCTAGAAGTATTAAAGAAAACAAGTGGGATATTTGGTAAGTAAAATATTAATGTACATTCGTCTCTGTGAAATATAGAATCGAAAGTACAATCTCTTAATGTTTACACTATTTACTTTATCTCAGCATTTCAAAAGTTTTTTTCTTGTCTATTTTCTATTGTATATAAATGCAATTGCTAAAAATTTGCAATTAAATGATTGGGAGAGCCTAATTCCTAACTGTATTTTTTATGTCTCTTGAAGGTTTTATAATAACAATTTTATTTTCAATTGTTACTTCTAATGAATTTGTTTTATAGGTATATGAAAAAGAATATTTAAAACAGCTAGATAAAATGGCACCGAACTATTTATCAGAAGAATATGTAGCTACTGCAGATACTGGTGAAGCAGTTTTTTTAAGACTATCTCCGTATCATTTGGAGTTTCCTGGACTCCAATTTCATACACATCTGGAAAGATGTAATTAGATTTATATTATAATTAAGAAAAATAATTTAGATATGGGATCTTATATTTTATTAACTTCCAGTGGCAACACCTTTGTTCCATTCAGGATCTTTGTTTTGTTTCAAAACGAGATGATGGAACTGTAGAAATTTCTAGAAAAAATGGTATTCCATTATATCTAAGTTTCACTCAGTCCTACCATGGATTCATTTATAAGTCTTCTTGATGGATACTACAGGTATTTCATGTTGTTATAAGCAAAATGATATTTCTTTGTGTCTAAACAAAGTATATTATAATTTTTCTAGATTGATGGTTAAATGGACTTTTAATTTATGTAAGGAATTAGCGACA